AATGAAGTCAATCCGGATCGGTTTTTGCAGTGAACGCTCCAATCCGGATCGATTTTCTCCGATCCAGATCCAAAAGTAAGCCACCTCGAGGAGGTAGCTCAAAGACTTCCGGGGCTGTGGCGGGGAGCGACGCGAGATTTGCCGCCGAGGGAGTTTCATGCCAGGGAGGGGTTTTTTTTGCCACCAAACAACTCGCTCCCCGAAAAAATTTAACGCCGCCGCCCCACAAGTCAGCGAAGGAGGCTATTCTCTACCCTCGCTGTGCCGTATTTCCTTGTTAAAACTATAAAATTTTGGGCTGGAAATTATCCTACATATACCTTCTTCAGTTGTTACCCTGCTTAGTCCACTTTAACTACCAGTAGGGGAGCGTTGGTTAGTGCACACCAAAGTAAAACAGGGATGAATATGTAAATAAACTTGGTAAAGGCAACGGCATTACGCGTAAACGACAATTGGTCATCTTGAATCCGCAGCACCACCATGTTTACATTTCTCAAATTCCGACGCGCTTTATCTCCGAGGGTTCCTTGTCAACCACTGAAACAAGTCAACAAAGTCCTCAGCTTTGCTGTATACATTATCGCACGAAAGTCCACGCCAGAACACTCGTCAGTACTTGTACATGTGCATGGTTTCATGAAGTGGTTTCTTTCACTATCGCCTGTCTAGTTCCTACGGTCTTGTGAGCGCCAGGGATTTTTCTGCGTCCTGATAATCTCCAAGCAGATCTTTTGGTGGGGGTTAGACAGTATCAAATTGGCCAATTTGTATCCATTCCCCCACCCAAGGTGGGGGAATGGATACAGACTGGCCAATTTGATACTGTCTTACCCCCACCAAAAGATCTGCTTGGAGATTACGTCCTGATACTCTTGACAACTCCAATTCTACCTCTATACTTTAAGTATTGAGATAAATTCTGCAACTAGTGCAACGTGTAAGAACAGGAGATTTAAATTCAGAGATTTTGACTACAGCACCTCTTCATGTTACCTACCCACAGTCCCTCAATCATCCACATCCGTCAGAAGCTGATTCTAGAAAACTTTCTAAAATTTCGATTACAACGTTGCACATTTAATTTCAATCAATTTCAATTTATTCAATCCAACAAAATCATACAAAAGCAGGGAATGCTAATGCACTCCTGAATTATGTAATTGATTTTTACAACTGGTTAAAAAAACAAGACAGGACAGGTACACAGAAACACACTATATACAAATATGTACAAACACCATTCACTCTACAACATTGTAATGCAATTCGAAATAGATCTTTTCCGCAAAGCCCCCCCCCCCCAGCAATAAATGATACGCCCCTCTCCAGTCCAAGACAAGCATGTTAGATCATTTGACCCTCATGTTTAGCTCGGATTGTGTTGTAAGCTGTAGATTTTGTTTTATGTGTTCGCATTGTAAGTAATAGTACGGTAATTTGGACTTTCTCCCGATCATGCACTATCCTTCAAATGAAAATTATTATCTTTAAAGATTTTAATAATTCATGCATCTGTCCTCTTTCTAACCTCCTGGTCCCGCCAAACGATTTGAATGGACGAGTCCAGAATGACGTCTTGCCGTATCGTTCGGCACACACGACTCTGACAGGTCCTTCACAAGTCGGCGTCAGAAATCACACACATCTCTGTTGTGTACCTGCCACATAGCCTCTACCAGGCTTGGGGAGGCGGCTGGAAAGAGTAGAAATCGGCCAAATAGAGGGATAAGCATGCCAAGGGAGTTTGTCCGTTGCGCGCCGGCATGCTTATCTCTCTATTTGGCCGATTTCTACTCTTTCCAGCCGCCTCCCCAAGCCTGGTAGAGGCTACCTGCCACAACGGAATCTGGTCACAGCATTCAAGCTCTCCACGTTCAATAGAAGTTTAACGTGTTAAAGGCATCCAATACAATTTCAGGGCGCCAAATCAAAACATATATGTTCAGGATGAGGAAATATGTCTGATGTTGACATTTTCTGCCATTTCTTACCACATTTTCTTAATCATTTCATAGCACATTTTCGTAATTTCGTAATTCATACTTTAAGCGTTTGAAATTAAAAAAAAACAACCTGTTTGAAAGAGTGCCTTTGATTTTTCTTTTCTTTTAGATACCACTAATGAATAATATCTAGAAGTAGAACCAGACTACAATACGAAACAAACAACCGGGTCCGTCAGTCACATCGCATTATTGCTTCACAGATCAGTATGCTGTGGGATATGGTTGATTAAACCTCCTTGATTCAACCTACTGCAATGACCAGCAAATTGTCTTTGTAATCATGTTTTTCACTGCACTGATTGCTGTGACTATTACTACATGTACGGGAGTTTTCCGACCTTAGTTTCCGTGCAGTGTCACGCGTACGACTGACTCGCGGATGTAGGATTTACAAAACGGCAATGCGTACAAAATTACATGACACGATCGATATCAACAGGTTTAAGATCCATGTGTAACAGTGGAGGGCTGATACATATTTAATGAGCTAAGGGCCACTAATGTTCATCAGTGGGTCACTGTGGGTCCATTAAATCCGTCACATGGGAAAACAGACCCTAGAAGTAATGGAGTCCTTTTACTTTAATATTCATCTGATCTTCGAAACAAACGGTTATCGAAAAGATACCGACGCAAAAAAAAAGACACGGATATTGTTGGCTGGTGAGGGTGGGCTACTCTCCAAGCAGAGGCTGGTGGGGGTGATTGTTAGCCTCTACCACTGGCTTCGGGAGGCGGCTGGAAAGAGTGGAAATCGGCCAAATAGAGAGATAACATGTCAGGGGAGTTAGTCCGCGGTGAGAGAACAGTTTGCCCCCTGAGTCCCTGACATATCTCTCTATTTGGCCGATTTCCACTCTTTCCAGTCGCCTCCCGAAGACTGGAAGAGGCTAGCTAGGTGTCCAAGGAGGTTTCCCCCACAATCTCCATGACGTGTCACATGCCCCGTTTTCTGTCGCTACTCCCCACCTAACTCTGCCACTTGTCGCTAATAACAGCTAATAGTTACAGAAAACGGGGCTTATGACGGAAAGGTAACAATCGTCTAATCTCCAAGCAGATCCCTTTTGGTGGCAAGACAGTATCCATTAGCCAGAGAAGGTCGCCGGCCACCGACGGGTGGGGGTAGCGACAAAAAAGGGCCATATATAAAAAGCTAACGATCATTCCCCCACAACCTCTGCTTGGAGAGTAACAATCGTCCCCACCAACCTCTGCTTGGAGAGTAGGTGGGGCATCCGCGGCGCAGCATACCGATTGTTTGTAAAGGGAAATGAGCCCTAACATGTCTGGATATTTGAAATATAAAGCCTTGCATTTGAATTGTCCGTTTGACAAAACGCGGGACAGATTGTCATGACTGATTGTGTTCGGTGTGGTTTACTCCCCGCAGAGCCTCCCAAGTATGTGATTACGGCGCAGTGTGACGGGCTCTTTCAACTACATCGTTGGTTGTTTCGTCCATCATTTTTTGGCGTTTGTGTTGTTTTTCTTTTTTTTTCTTTTGAAATTGCAAATATCAATATACACTTAAAACAGACGTAGGAAGTAGTTGCGGCTCCCTATTGATAAAAATGACATTATCGTACCTGTTTCTTGAATAATTATGACTGAGTCTTTGTATTACCTCAAGATATAGCTTTATATGAATGAATGAACTTAATTGCTCGACAATCAATCGTACATGGTACAATGAATGGCAGTAAACAGCAAAACTAAATCCAAGTAAGTATAATTTCATATTATCTATAACAATATATGAGTTACAATACAGTCATGTATGGGTGATTTGGTATCGCTTTTGGAATTCCGGAATGAAGGATGAAGTATGAAGAAATTGACCTATGTAGGCAGATACAGTACAGCCACGAAGTACGTAAAACAAGGCCGTGATTTGGCCATGCCCGTTGCGGAGAAACAGAACACCAAATTATCTGCGGCGACACATGGCCCTGCATGGCGTCAGTGTCAGGCGATTTACGCTTACAGCACAGTAATGTCTTCTGTCTGCCTTGTTTACGCTGGCTGTTCCCCCTCCACTAACCGTGTAAGCACCATCCCCAGCCTGTACTGGGCGTTATTTGAACGTTTGCCAAACGGATAAAGACTAGAAAGCAGCTCAGTTCTCGCCTCTGACTAATGTTTCCCCACCCACGCCGAAACCTACCTTACTCATGATTCAGACAAAATTATTCCCGTTTTTAATTGGGGTATAACAAAATCAAAAAGGAGTGAAAACTAGACAAGAGAGACAGGAGGTTTTTTTAACTATTTTCTTTCTTTTTTTTTCAACTTTTCGACGTGACAGAGACATAGACAAAATCATTCCCGTGACCGAAAACTTCCCTGTTCTTTCGACCATGATTAGCCTGGGAACCATCCTGGTAGCGACTGTGGGAGCGGACGTAAACTAACCAGGATGGTACCCAGGCTAGACCAAGCTTCAGAGATGACTGGAAAGCGCGGCAAACTGTACTCTTTTAGCGTACTAAGACTACTAACTACCCTGGCATGTTATATGGCCAAATTCTACTCTTGCCAGCCTCCTCTGATTCTGAAACCTTAGTAGTACTAAGTAGTAGCATAAATACAACCTCCTTGGTTGTAGTGGCTAGGAAAAACAACGCCGGAGGGCTTGCACTGATTTGCATTGGGTGAAAAGAATAACAAGAGAAACCCGCTGTGGCCGCGCTAAGTGAGCCGGGTAGACGTCGCAGCTGTTACCCGCCATAACAGTCTTGAGTTTGTCTCATGTTGCGTGAACTTGTACGCGAACTTGATGTTCCTATTCCAACAATTCTTGCGTAGAATAAACGACTTCAACCACCAAGGAAAGCCTGATATCTTAACGTACATGCCTACCTAAATCTACGAGAAATTCGCGTATTCTTTCTTGGCGTATGGAAGAAGGAAGCACGCTGCCGCCGCGGCCACACCCATACGAGCTTGGCCACCGCTTGTCAACAACACACAAACACGCTAAAAACTCACCCAGAATATGAAGTTGAAGATGAACAAGAGCGTCTTGATGATCGACGCACAACAGCCTTCCGCCATGTTGAATATTCTTGTCTTGAACCTGAAGAAATAGGGTGAGAAATGGCGGGAGAGTAGGACCGTCTTGTAGCTCCTCTGGTCGTTACTGCTGAAACCCTGTGCTGAAACCTTCCCTGTGTGTGGGTCAGAGGAAGAAGAGGGCGGGAAACTATCACGTCATCAACGCCCCCAACATAGAGGATGTCAGGGGTCGTCTGGCCGAAACCTGGCCGATTCAAATTATTTCTTGGAGCAAGTCCAGTGACAAGCCTCACCACGGTCACGGTGAGCTAACATCTGGTCTTTTCTGCTGACAGTGAGGTAAATATGTGCTGCGGGTTGGCCATGTTCATTTTGATGTGTATTGTTTTAAGAAATAAAAAAATAAATTAATGAATGTTTCTGTTTCTCACCTCGGTCCTCCTGGTTTCTCTCATATGAATCACTTGTGGCTTTCCGAAACTTGGATTATTATTAGTAGCCTCCACCAGGCCTGTGGTACAGGGGTACGGATCATACGGGAAATACTAGGAGAGTCAGTCCGCGGGAAGGCGGGCAGATGAAACCTACGGTGGCCAAACTACTAGTACTACAGAACAAGGTGAAAGCTGTAGTTACTATCTAAGAAATAGCAAAAGTGCAAAGAATGTCCAATCTAACGAACGGCCCCTCGGTGTATTTATCTTTTAGAGGGTCACGGTCAACAAAACAAAGCGGTAAATCTTTTAAGTATAAGAGGAACTCTGTTTAACCTTGCGTTAGCAGCTAGGGGACGGATCAGAAGATAGCCGTGCTTGGTTTGAAAATGAGACATTATCTAGAAAAGAACACTATGTCCTGTTGCAATTTCTTGCCGGCAAAGCAAAACTATACTGGATGAGGAAGTCTGCCTGCTGCTGACATTTCTTGCTTTTCTTGGCACATTTTTGCTTCATACGTGCATGCGTTTGAAAAAAAAAAAAACAAGCAACGCGAGTATAGTTTCTTCTAAAAGAGAAACATCAGTGTCAGTTGCCGAATGTGAAACCACTTCTCCTTAGTATTGTTTCGACAACTAAAATCACGGAATATTTCATCCCAGTTATCTAAGTTCCACTTTCGAGGCACATGACAGAAACGTGACACAACGAACGGCCAGTGGAAAGTATGGGGTGGGGCTGACATAGTAGTAATACCAGCTGTTCGAATGTGAAACTGATGAAAACAAACGACTTCCCATTTAGCCTGTGTTTTTAATACACAATTTCCCTCTGACAAGGGGGGGGGGGCGGTTTAAACAGGCGAAATTTTCTTCTTTTTATTTTTTTATATTCCAACATTTCATGACCAAACATGGCGACGGCACACTCAAGTTATATCAACTTATTTTATGCCGCCACCAAAACAGAGTACAAATGCAGGACAGGGCAATGCTCATTTTCACCTGAGCGAAGTGAGGAAAGTCGTGTTAAGTGCCTCCCAAGGGCACACGATCGGTGGCATGTCAGGACTCGAACCCGGGACCTCTTGGTTCCGAGTCGAGCACTCCGCCGCTACTCCACACGACCCAACCTTAAAAACTTTCTTCATGTGACTTCATGAACACCGATTGCCGGGGTAGATGTATACATGTATATAGCGTGAACGGTGGGGAAATGCACCAAAACGATATATCTTTAGCCCCACATGATGTACAGAGAGAAACAGATGACATATCAATTGAACCACACGTGTTTACTCTCAGCATCGCCCGGTGCGGGGAAACCGAGGTCAACACTTCCTCCCGTGGGGTTTATCCCAGTCAAGGGTAAGTAAACATGACCCACGATCGCGAATTGGATCTTCTATGGCCCGGGAACTTCTCTGGTATACTATCCCTTTATTTCGGCCGATATTTCTACTATTTTTCCAGGGGGGGCGCAAGCCCTTTTCC